AGATGTTTGCTGAGAGTTTGTGTTGGGGTTTATGTAGGGAATGAGGTGATAAAGCACTCACTGCAGCCCACTGAGAATTACAAAGCTATCTCCCTCTCTCTCTCTCTCTCTCTCTCACTCTCTCTCTCTCTCTCTCTCTCTCTCTCTCTCTCTTTCCCTCCCCTATTTCTCTCTCTCTGCTTGTTGTTGTTATTGTTGCTGTTCTTCTTCTTCTTCTTCTTCTTCTTCTTCTCCTCTTGTTCTCTCTCTCAAGAATCAAGGCGGATGGCCTTGTCCTTGAACTTAGGTGAGGTGTGGGACTCTGGTGGGGCTGATGGTATTTTGACCTTTGCTGATTCCATATAAACCCAGAAGACTCGTGTAGGTTCACTGGTGGTTTTGGATAGTAAATAAAATGTCTATATCTGTGTTGTAGTCATGGCGACCCCTGGTTCCTATCACCACCACTGTAAAGAAATCCGAACCATTTCAGACCAAACCACTCTGAATCACTCTGTTTACATCTCAACCACCGAATCATGGAGAAATTTTGAAAACATGGTGGAATTCCTCTTTAAGGCCCAGCACATACGCTCAGTTTCATGGTGCGTGTGTGTATGTACTTATGTAATTGTGGGAGTGCACCTGCCTTCTGAAGAAGTGTCATCTTCATGCAGCATTTGGTGTTTAATGCGACGTGGCAGACTGCGAGAGAGCGTGTATGCTCCCTCACATTAAGGGTGTTAATGTGTGTTAGTGATAAAAGACAAGGGTGAGACTCATACTGTTACACACAGAGTCAGAGAGACAGAGAGAGAGAGTCATAGAAAGTCTTAGAATCAGAAGGGCTTATTGTGATCCTTAAAGAGAGACTAATTAGGATCAGGTAATATGCATTCAGCAACTAAACATAATATAATTTTTCAGCATTTAGTGTTTTTCAGAGAAATATGCTGGGATATTTTTGACACGTCCAAAGTTTTGTCTTAGAATTTTGTTGCATTTTCTACTTTGCATGGTCCAAGTAATACCTATCACATTCAGTGATGTTGAGGTCTGGACTCTGAGGTGGTCAGTACATTGTTCTGAGACCAGCAGCAACTTCTTTGTTTGATTTGCGAATGCACTTCTTTTTTGTTTATTTTACTTTCTCATTTTTATTGTGGTGCCAGCATAGAATAAGACTCTCATGCTCCCACAGCAGCTTGATGCTACAAAGCCCCCCTTTTAAGGTGAACCATCCTGGCAACCTTACAAAATTCGAGCAGGGTCCCTGGGGTGTGTGAGGGGCCTCGGCCAGGCTCTGTCCTCTATGCGGTCTACCTTGAGTTTTTGGACAATACTCCTCTCCAGTCCACTGGGGAGTATCCCACTTCTGACACCAGTGTGTTGTCTGTGAAGAAAAAGATGCAGGAAACATTTCCCTTTAAAGATGAATGCTTTTTTACCAAACAGGCAGCAGGGGATGATCACCACTCAGCACTACTGTCTAAGCAGGTCGCTTCTAGCCATGCACTGCACACCACAACCTGGCATGAATAACACAAATATGCACACACACACACACACACACACACACACACACACACTTTAGAATAACAACAGCAACTTATTTACAATAAATCTCTTCTACCACAAATGCTTTCTGACAGCCTCCCTGAATGGCTGCTCTGCATGGCCACGCCTCCCATGCTCCCACGGCAACGTGAGCCAGTAAAAGGATGCTACATTAACAATTCTTACTGTTTGAGAACACCAGCTGTCCCATGCAATAAGTGAACATTTCATGACAAAAATTACATTTGTTACAGGAACATACAGTCATATGCAAAAGTTTGCACACCCATGGTCAGGTAGCATGGTTTGTTGATTTCCTGAGTGAAAATAAATCAACACATACTTGAACAGTGAATGCACTTAAATATGGAATGTTCTGCTAATTTTAGTGCACAGTTTCTGTTTATTTGTGAGTTTAACATATTGGAAAAACTACAGTAAATAAATGTTAATGTGTTAAAATATCTTTACTTAGAAAATCAACAAAACATATTATACATATAGCATATTTATAGTATTTCTACCTTCTCCAAAAGCTGTTATTTTGTAGATTTTGCAGCATTGACAGCAAAATGATATATTTTATATCATGCAGATAAACAACAACAGACAACAGACAATTTTGCTCATTTTTTTTTCAAGGGTGCCATTAATTTTGCAGGCATAATTGTATCTCTCATTTTGTCTGTCGTTGAAGATCTACAAGCACCTGGTTTCTCCTTCTGTTTAGGAGGATTTACAGCCCTAAAGGTTGCAGATGTGGACTGTTTATGTTTTGAGGAACTCTGTCACCTCAGCAGCTTCTCAAGAAAGATTCAGAAAAACACAGTGAAAATTAAATTTAGCGTACCGACTGCAGGCAGAGAGTGTTGGTGGAACGAAAATGAGGAGGCCTGTTAGTCCTAATGAGAGTGGACGGGGCTAATGATGCATTCAAACAGTCCTCTTCAACTTGGAAAATAATAATTTCCAAATGTTATGGGTTACACTACACTGATACATAACACTGACATGACCATGTATAGCTAAAAATACACCTGACCATCACACTTACATGAGTTTGTTGGACATCCCTTTCCAAAACCATGGGCATTAATATGGAGTTGCCCACCTTTGTGGCTAGTACAGCTTCCACGCTTCTGGGAAGCTTTCCACAAGACTTTGGAGTGTGTCTGTGGGAGTTTGTGCCCATTCAGTCTAAAAAGCATTTGTGAGGTCAGACACTGATGTTGGACAAGAGGGTCTGGCTCACAACTGATGTTCTAGTTCATCCCAAAGGTGTTCAGTAGGGTCAAGGTCAGGGCTCTGTGTAGGTCACTGAAGTTCCTCCACATTAACATAACCATGCTGTTAATGTGTTGTCATAAGTCATCATAACAGATTTATTGTCATGACAATGTCAAAATGTTTGACATAAGCTGTCTTGATGTCAAACATTATGACATCTGTCATGATAATTACTGGTAACATTGACACTGTTGTATGACAGCGCATATTTGCTACATGACATCTGCTATGGCATGTTTATGTCAGTGTTATGTAACAGGGTTCAAGTGTTACTGTGGATAATGTCTGTTTATGTCACCTCTGTGACAGCAACATAAGAAGAACACACACACATACAAACACAAAACAAAAACAAACAAACAAAGAACAATAATGAAAAAAAGAAATGAAGAATTGGAACCAGGCTTAGCTTAATACAGCCAATACTCGATCCATTAAAACAAGCCTGGATTGGCTCTGGACGTCATTACTGTCAAGTATTTTATAAAGGCTTTGAACCAATCAGGTTTTAGAACCAAAAATCTGTTTTACAAAGCAACAATGTTTCCACCTCATAGAAATACAGTAGATGCCTATGAGGCCTCACGTGAAGCCTGTTTCCCAAATCTTACACTCCCTCTCCAGCTTTCACACTTGCCTAATGCGTGGTGAATGAGCGCTGCTTTAGTGCAATGTGCTGTTCCGCATGCATTATGGATTCGGTGGTTGTTTTTGTCCCATGCTGCATAAAAGCCAAACACACGACGTGCACCCCCCCCTCACCAGCACTGGCACACACACCTGAAGTCATCAGCAGATTTCCAGACACTAAAAGTGCAGTCAGGAGCGCAGCAGTTTATAGCTTGAAGGCATACTTGGCTTTTCTAAGACGCTACCTTGCTTTCCAGCTGGTTCCAGATGATTCGGAATTTAGGTGGCACAGAAGACAATTATATGTCTTACTGCAGGAACTTCGAGGACCAGAATGCAGACCATATTCCTCTTTTAATTGAGTGTCTTGCTTCCTCTTTAGCTGTGTCCATGTGCAATACTACATATACACCAATCAGCCATAATTCTAAAGCCACCTCCTTGTTTCTACACTCACTGTCCATTTTATCAGCTCCACTGACCATATTGGAGCACTTTGTAGATCTACATTACAGACTGTAGGGTAACACTTTCTATGAATGTCACCTTTGTAAGCATCTATAAACGCATTCATAACATGTTATAATGCATGCATAAGACATTATAAACATAGCTATAAATATTTATAAAAATACATTATGCATTATAGCCATGTTTATTATGCATTATGAATTGTTAACATAATACATTATAAGTACTGATCATAACAAATTATAAGAGCTCATAAGTCGTATTTGTCCGCTCTAAGTAAAGTGAAGCGTACTGTACTAAAGCCTCCTCCAGTGTTCAGAGTGAGGCTTCAAGTTGAAGTATTTACTGAAGGATTTACTGAAACACTAAAACATACATAATAAAGCACATTACAGGCTTCAAATGTCAGAGTTTAAACTAGAGCTGCCATCAGTGTTTTACCCAATGTGGGAAAGGTAATGTTCACCACCGTTAGCTTGGTATTTGTCTTTACTTTACGCTCTCCAAGCTGGGACTGACTTCTTTGGCACTGACATTATAATATGTTATTAACACTATTTATAATGCATTATATTAACAATTCATAATGTATAATAAACATGGCTATAAAGTGTAATTCTTTTTTATAAATATTTTATAAATATTTATAACGATGTTTATAATGCCTTATGAATACATTATAACATGTTATAAATGTGTTTATAGATGCTTACAAAGGTGACATTCATAGAAGTGTTACCGACTGTAGTCCATCTGTTTCTCTGCATACTTTGTCACCCTGTTCTTGAATGGTCAGGACCCCCACAGGACCCCCACATAGCAGGTTTTGTTTGGGTGGTGGATCATTCTCAGCCCTGCAGTGACACTGACGTGGTGGTGGAGTGTTAGCGTGTGTTGTGCTGGTATGAGTGGTGTGAGTTTCATTTAAGGTGTTTATGACCTAATTAATAACCACTAATAAACCATTCTTAAACCCTTTATAAGGGTAGTATTAATCTAAAATGGTACCCAAGTTTATACCTGACCAGTGCTAAAGTTACTTAACGTTAGCCTAACGTTTAGTTCTTTTTCCTCAGGCTGCTGCTGCGTCGCCATGACGACCGAGGAGTGTCCCATGCCGCTGGGTGTGAGCCAGGCGGGGGCGGGGCTGTGCGAGGACTATGGCCCAGCCCAGGGGGACGACATCATCGAGGAGGTGGGGCCCTGATGACGCAGCCAGTGACCTGAGCACGCTGGTGGTGCCGTTCCCGGAGCTGGCACCGGTGGTCTTTTTCTGCCTCAAGCAGACCACCTGCCCACGCAACTGGTGCATCCGCATGGTCTCCAGCCCATATCCTTTCAGCCCCCCAAAATCTACAGCACTGTGAGTCACGACCACCTCAGGTCACTTTCCCCAGATAATCATGAGGGAGAGATCATTACAACATGATGTTGATGGTTGTGGTTGGTTTTTCATGGTGATTATAGGAAAGTTGGTAGTGAAACTGAGTTTGGAGTCACATGCTGACCCACTGTGGTCACTTTGGTTGCTTTGCCTCCATTTACATTACAGGGGTGACGCATAATAATGCTCATAATGTGGACAGTCAGACTGGAATTCATGTTTTTTTTTTTTTTGCTTTTTTTGTGAGCATGTGCCTATTGCTGTGGTCACCATCCAGTGGGGGGAAGTGGGTCAGCCAACAGCTTTAACTTGTCTTTTATTGGTGGGGGTAATTGTGGCTCATCCTAGAGAGGAACATCTGAGTATTAGAGGCAGGTGTGTTTGGTTAGGGTGGTGGATCTCCAGGACCAGGATTGGGCGAAAAGCAGATTCAAAGGCAGATTCATCAGTGTTTTTATGCTTTAGTATGAAAGGGTTAGTAGCAAACTGCTGATTCAGTGCTCCACCTGCTCGGACAAGCTGCGTTGACCTTCCTCTCCCTGTTAAACTTTAAAAGTTGGTATTTCTCTGTGTGCATGCCTTGGGGACATGGGCTCTTGTAGAAAGCGTCTCAATCAATTTGCACGTCTCGCTGTGAGTTTGGCTGACTCGCTCATTTGGCTGAAGCTTAGCTTGAAAGCCTTTTGTTGTGGCTAAGATGGACAGAGGTGGGCAGTAACTTGTTCCATTTACTCAGTTACATGGACTCTTGATGGATTTGTACTTTCCTGATGATTTTCAAAAGGCACTTTTGCTTCTGCTCAAGTATGTTTGTGAGGAATGGACATTTTGCTCAGCTCTGATTGAGTCATTAGTTCCTAATTCGCTCTTTTTAGGTTTAATTTTAGTTGGGACCACTTCGCTGTTCCTCACACCTCTCACCTTTTATTTTAGATCAAAAGAGCACAAAAAGAGAAGAATACAGTCTAACAAACTTCAGCTGTTATGCTGATACATGTTGGATGCACTGCAGTTTTATAGGGGAACTCAGTACTTATGTCATATTTAAGCTCCATTTAACTTGGAGCTTCATACGTCCCATAGTAAAGGTTTTCATGTGACTTGTTTGAGTTTGTTCATTTAACAGTACATGTAAGGTATAAATAGCATAGACCAATTCAACGTGGACTTCCTCTGATTTTTCATGCTTTGTGCATAATTCAATGTTTCAAGCATAAAGAAAGTCATTCAGAGTAGGTTTGGTGTGAAATGGTTGATTGTACAGACTCAGATTTCTTTACAGTGGTGGTGATGGGAACCAGGAGTCACCATGTCTAAAACACAAATATAGACATTTTATTTACCATCCAAAACAAAGTCTTCTGAGTTATTATATGTAATGTTGATGGTGAGCCCTGCGATGGATTGGCGACCTGTCCAGGGTGTATCCTGCCTTCCGCCCAATGACAGCTGAGATAGGCTCCAGCACCCCACCGCGACCCAGAAGGATAAGCGGTTTAGATGATGTATGTATGTATGTATGTTGATGGTGAAATAGTGATGAATGGTCATGTTTGAGGTCAAAACCTTCTCAAAACTATCGTACAACAATGTCTCAGACATCAGGCAGCGTCTTAATAACCATCTTATGTAATAACTTTCTGTGAGGGAGCTTTTAGAGGTGGACGTCTGGTTCCTATCACCACCACTGTGAACAATTCTGACACTTCATGATGGAGCTTCTGAATAACTGTGTCTGCTTTTAACTATGCCATTATGAAGAAATGTAGAAAAATTGGGGAAGTGGATTATCTTTGTCTAATATCCTCAGAAATGTCTCTATGAAATATCTAAAATGAATAGCTGAATAAATGTATAGATAAGAAGAGTCTATGGTCTCTTCTGTAAAGGACTGTACTGAGTCATTATTACACTGTAGTAACGTGTTTACTGGAGTTCACTGGACTCCTCTCTGGTGAAGTTCAGATCCGTGTGCAGATATTCTTTTCCAAGAGCCTGAGAGACCATGGGGCACCAATCAGTGCCATTCATAGTAGCACTACAGTCATCCAGATCACCCATGACACGAGAACAGGCCGTGCTCTATCAGCCTACTGTACCTGCAGCAGTCAATCACAGAGTGAGAGCAGAAAAAGTGCAAACAGACAGTTTTATATGGACTTACACACTAACACTAACACAGACACTAACACTAACATAGACACTAACACAGACATTAATACTAACACAGACACTAACAGAGACACTAACACAGACACTGATACTAACATAGACACTAACACAGACACTAATACTATCATAGACACTAACATAGACACTAACACAGACACTAATACTAACACAGATACTAACACAGATACTAACATAGACACTAATACTAACAGACACTAATACTATCATAGACACTAACACAGACACTAACACAGACACTAATACTAACACAGACACTAACACAGACACTAATACTAACACAGACACTAATACTAACACAGACACTAATACTAACATAGACACTAACACAGACACTAACACAGACACTAATACTAACATAGACACTAACACAGACACTAACACAGACACTAATACTAACACAGACACTAACACAGACATTAATACTAACACAGACACTAACACAGACACTAATACTAACATAGACACTAACACAAACACAGACACTAACACTAACACAGACACTAATACTAACACAGACACTAACACAGACACTAATACTAACACAGACACTAATACTATCATAGACACTAACACTAACACAGATACTAACACAGACACTAATACTAACACAGACACTAATACTATCATAGACACTAACACAGACACTAATACTATCATAGACACTAACACAGACACTAATACTATCATAGACACTAACACAGACACTAATACTATCATAGACACTAACACAGACACTAACACAGACACTAATACTATCATAGACACTAACACAGACACTAATACTATCATAGATACTAACACAGACACTAATACTATCATAGACACTAACACAGACACTAACACAGACACTAATACTATCATAGACACTAACACAGACACTAATACTATCATAGACACTAACACAGATACTAACACAGACACTAATACTATCATAGACACTAACACAGACACTAATACTATCATAGACACTAACACAGATACTAACACAGACACTAATACTATCATAGACACTAACACAGACAGTAATACTAACGCAGACACTAACACTAACACAGATACTAACACAGACACTAATACTAACACAGACACTAATACTATCATAGACACTAACACAGACAGTAATACTAACACAGACACTAACACTAACACAGATACTAACACAGACACTAATACTATCATAGACACTAACACAGACACTAATACTATCATAGACACTAACACAGACAGTAATACTAACACAGACACTAACACTAACAGAGACACTAACACAGACACTAATACTAACACAGACACTAATACTAACACAGACACTAATACTAACACAGACACTAACACAGACACTAATACTAACACAGACACTAACACAGACACTAATACTATCATAGACACTAACACAGACAGTAATACTAACACAGACACTAACACTAACACAGATACTAACACAGACACTAATACTGACACAGATACTAACACAGACACTAATACTAACACAGACACTAACACAGACACTAATACTATCATAGACACTAACACAGACACTAATACTAACACAGACACTAACACTAACACAGATACTAACACAGACACTAATACTAACACAGACAGTAATACTAACACAGACACTAACACTAACACAGATACTAACACAGACACTAATACTAACACAGATACTAACACAGACACTAATACTATCATAGACACTAACACAGACAGTAATACTAACACAGACACTAACACTAACACAGATACTAACACAGACACTAATACTAACACAGATACTTACACAGACACTAATACTAACACTCAGGCAAGCTGCCATCTTTACCTAAAAGAAAAGGTGAGTGAAAGGGAGAGGAAGGAAATGTGAGAGAGACAGAAAGAGAAAAGAGAGAATAAAAGAGAGAAAGGAAAACAGACAGAGACCTAGAAAAGAGGAGGAAAAAAGTGAGAGAGAGACAGGAAAGAAAGAGGAAAAAAAGAGTGAGAAAGCAACAGAAGAAGAAAAGAGAAAGAAAGAGAGATGGATAGAGAAAGAAGAGGGAGCAAAAGGGAGACAAAGAAAGAAAGAAAGAAAGAAAGAGAAGAAAGGAGAGTGGGAAAGGGAAAGATTGAGAAAGAGAAAAGAAAGAGACAAAAAGAGAGAGAAGTGAGAGAGAAAAGACAAAGGCTGAGATAAAGAAAGAAAGAGAGGAAGGGAAAGTGAGAGAATAAAAGAAAGAAAGGAAAACAGAGACAAAGAGAGAGAGAAAGAAACTGAGAAAGTTAGAGAGAGAAAAGAGAGAAAGAGGAAAGAAGGATTGAGAGAGCGACAGAAGGAGAAAAGAGATAAAAAGAGATGGAAGTAGAGGCAGAAAGGGAAAGAGGAAAGAAAGAGACAGGAAGAGAAAAGAGAAAGAGAGAAGTGAGAGAGAAACGAGAAAGGGTGAGAGAAAGAAAGAGAGAGAGAGGAAGGGAAAGTGAGAGAGACAAAGAGAAAAGAGGGAAAGTAAACCAGAGAGAGAGAGACAGAGAGAGAGACTGAAAGAGAAGGAGAGAGGGAGAAAGAGGGTGAGAAAGAGAATGAGAAAAGGAAAGAGAGAGAGGAAATAGAAAAGAGAAACAGAAAGAGAGTGAGGGGAGAGAGAGAAAGAGACAGAGGAAAGAAAGAGAGAGAAAGAGAGGAAAAGAAAAAGAGAAAATGAGAGAGACTGGATAGCAGAGGATGGGATGGGCATTTCCTATGATGGTTTAATTACTGGTCAGTCGTGTTCCCC